GAAAATTCCCATTAACTTTGATATATCTAAGATTTACCAAAAACAATTTCCAGTTTTGGCAACAATAAAATTTTGAGCTCCTCAAAGAGGCACACATTTTAGTTGATTCTTTCTACAATACCAAGATGGAAACTGACTATGAAATATGAAAAAACCACTGTTTAGTGCACCAGATTTCTGACTCATCTGTTAAATCAGCTATTCTAAATATTATCCTTGGAGTGCAGAGTTTCTCCCAATCAGATCCAAGGCTTAATATGTCTTTACCTGAGAAATTAAGAATGTATGTTTATTTATGATATCTACAGTAAGCAAAACTTAAGTACTGTACTATGCATTCCTTTTATAGAACTTTCATTACTGATTTAAAGTACTGATCTCATATTACTTTCACTTGCAGATAAAGGCAAAAGGTCATTTCAAAGACTCGGAGTTGTATGAAGAAAATTTCCTTTAAATTTGGGTTATGTGTAAAAAGATAGAAAACACATAAGAAGACACGTTCTTAAAACTCAGATCACTAATAAATATTGTTATAGGTATATATTTAGACAAGAAAAGAAACAGTTATAATTCCCGTACAGTACTTACCCATTTTAACATTATCACATGGTTGTACAAACAGGATTATAACAAGCAAAAGAAAGCATTTTATTTAATGAATAAATAATCAAAAAGCATTGGTGAGGATAGTCTTAATAATATGCTGCTTCATACAGTTTAAAGTACATCAAACAACAAAATCCATAGTCTCAAAATTCCATTAAATAATACTGAGTAATTATGTGACTGATAATATTTATGTATATATATATATAATATATATAATATATGTGTGTATATAATCATATCATTATGAGTAATTAAGGTATCTATTTACATGCCATGCAATATTAGAATGTGTTGCAATACCTAGGCACAACAGGCGGATTTAAGAATGGCTGTGGTAAAAAAAAAACAACAAACAACTTATTTTTGAAAATGAGTGATATTACTTTCTTTAAGTTCTTTCTTTTCATAATATACAATGAGAATTTGAGATCCCTTCTGATAGCTAAAGACATCCTTGTGTTTGCTATTGTACAATTAGGTAGCTGTATAAACTTAAAGCTGCAATTAGAACCATGAGATGCTGCAGTTAAGAAGGCATTCTTGCTTCAAAACTTAGCATATGGCATGCTTGTCTGTGATATTCTTCTCATTGTAGACCCAGTTATGTGAAATATTGAGCTTCTCCTACAAGAGGATGTTTACTCCTGTGTTCTAAAGAAGTTAAGTGCACTCAGTGTCTCAAGAGCTGCAGATTATTTGCAGGATAAGGATACATGTCAGCACATAAATTCTATTACTGCCCAGTAAAGTGATGTGTCTGTATCAATTAAAAAAAAAAAAAAGCTTGCAATTCTTCATTTATTGGCATGTATTTCAGTTTATAAGAAAACTACACTGTGTTTTAAAAACCTGAAAATTGCAAATTTGCTTATTCTCAAGCATTTGCTAGTCCACTGCATACTAAAGGACTTGTTATTTCTGTTACTAATTATTGGACAGGTCCTGATATTTTACTTTGTAAGAAGCTTTGTAAGAGGTTCAATAAAGCCTGAAGGATCAGAATCTGGCCCTGTATGTTATGATCTTAATTTCAGCTCAACTGGTTGAAAATAAAATATAGAATGGTGTCTCACAAAGAAAGCATTTTATAATATAAGGAACTGTGTTAAATAAGGTATTATATTTCAGAGAAGTCAAATTGAAAAAAAAAATCAATCCTCTCAAATAATGTGCAAAAAGGATATCTCATAATTTTACAAGGAAGCATCTACCAATCAGAGGGTTTTTTTTGGAAAAGGAGGAAAAGTAAGAGGTGGGTTTAGATTATGGGCTAATTATACTTGATGGATACATCCACTAAGGTGGTGAGCAGTGCAAGTTAATAAAACTAATGTTAATTGAGTTAGAGCTCAACTGTCCATGATATACTGAGCTGAATCACACCTCTGGGTGATGTTGTATCATGTTTTCTGTATATTAAAATGCCTTTCTGTGTTCTAGAACTGGTTTCCATTTTTAAGTTTTTCAGCACAGCAGCAATGATTACAAGCATATAAATTAATTAAAGTCAAGACTTTGGAACACGGTTCCACAGAAAAAGTATATTAAACAAGAAAGAATTGATCTTTAAGTACTCGGTTGCTTTCACAGTCTGAATTGGCTCATGTGAGCACACGTGCTAGAGAATTCTCACTGCTTATTTTCTCATTCTAATGGAAGGATACATGCCATAAGCAAGTTTATAATCTGAATCAGGTAAATAGTTTGTGGTCATGGGAAATCAAAATTTATACTTCTGTCTGAATTGGATATGACGCTACTGTTGTGCTCTCATGCTAGTAGGAATACTTTTGTAACGTATTTTGAGGTATCAGATGCTACTGTCTAAGGCTATTAGACGCTACCCCTGTGTCTTCTGGCACGTCATGAGTTCTGTGGCCTGTGGATCCCCTGACATTGCCTATTACCATGTTCAATGATTCTCACTGTGTCTTCTGTTTCATTAAAGCAACTAGTGCCTCCCTTTGCTCAAAACGTCCTAAAATTAAACTTCTGATCAATGTTATGATCTCCTTTTCCTTATTTCTTTTTCTCAAATCAGCTCCAGTCTTTATCACTCCTGCTCTTTACTCTCACATCGATATACATCTCCTGCATTTATGCAATTTATGCATCCAAAGCTTTCTAAGTTTCTCCCTTAGTTTAGTCTACTCCATGCTAAAGTCCTTAAGATTCCTTCTGATCATGATTCCTAAGAATAACTTGCTAAAAGTTAATAATCACATTAAGCAGGTAATATGAATATAATTTTCTTCATATCTATTTGTTAAAATTGATGTATATTTCCGCTTACTCCTAATTCTGCTCCATATATTTCTTTGTCAGCCTTCCCACAGTCTTTCATAGAGTTCCAGGTGAAGTCCAACTCCTGGTACTGAGTAAGCAATTTTTTTACCTATTTCTGTCAGGAAATACAGTACATAATCTGTCTTTCATATCACTTCATTGTACTGTGAAGTTCAATCACCTTATCATCATACTTTCTCTTCAAGTCACATTGTCTGTAAAGGATCTCAAGAAGGCATTTAGTACATCTGCTCTCTCTGACAAAGAGCAGTTATTCCTGTTAGGTGTTTTTCCTTTCTCTTCTTCAAAATTCCAAAACCATCTCTAGGCAATCTGTTCTAGCACAACATTGCTTAAACCACTAGAAAATGTTTCACACTTCAAGCCTGAATTTTCTGGGGTTTTTTACATGGTCCTGACTGCTCTACTTTAGCAAGAATTGGCACAGCATGGGATTAAGTAGGACTAAATAACTACGTCTACACATGCTTTCCATTTTCTGTTTGGACTAGGGGCTTTGGTCAGTGACAGTAAAACTAAAGGACTATGAAAAAAATCTTTGGCAAATCTTTTTAGCAGTCCTTTTAAGTGTGTGCATTATGAAATAAATTATGAAATAAATAAAAAAATGGACACACAGTCTGAAGAAAAAAAGCTAGAACTGGCATCAGAGAAGCATCTGTATCATGACAGGTTATGGATAATTTTAAGTAATGTTTAGCCCCAAAGATGGAAAACTGAATAGTCACCAATACTCAGCTGCCATCTCATTCTGCGCAGTGGAATTTTTTTTTTTTAAAGCACCTCATCTGAGATATGACAGAATTTCTTTTTTTTCCTTCTTTTTTTTCTCTTTATTTATGAATTTTTGACAGCCATGTCAAAAATTAAGCAAACTAAATTAAGCAAACCGATTAAGCAAACCAAATGGTCGTGAATGAATGGGCACTTACTAAATATGTGTTTAGGGCCAAATTCAGATTCTATAGAAACATCTGGAAAACATTAATTAAGATACAGTTCTCAGTGCTGCAGATATATATATTTACTTCCTTCCTTCCTTCTTTCCTTCTTTCTTTCCCTCCCTCTCTCCCTCCCTCCCTCCTTCCCTCTCTCTTTTTCTCTCTCTCCCTCTTTCTCCTTGCTTTTTCTCCTGTCTTTTTTTTTAATAACTATTTCAAAGCTGAGTAAGGTTTTAAGATTCTAAAATTATACAGAATTTAAGAAAATGAGATGAGAAAATTTCCACCTGCTAACAATTTAAAATCATGGTTTTTTTAGCTCCTCCTGCACAAGCTGATAATAGCACAAAGTACTGAAGGTTGGAACTGAATATGGTTCACTTTCTGTAGCAAGTCACATCTTTTACTTTCTGTCTGTGATAGAAATGTTTTCAAATACAATCTGTTTAAAAAGACACTCCTAATTTAAACTAGTTGGTGCTATTTGGGTGTTCAAATACTTGTTGTATTTCTGGTTTTAATACAGAACTCAGTGCTTCTCATCTTTAAAACTCAGCATGTTCAAAAATAGCTTACTTCTGTTGATAAATCTTTTTCAAGGTTGTTCAGGTTTTTTTCTTTTTTTTTTTTTTTTTTTTAACTGTGCTGCAACAAAAATGGTTATATAACCACACAAATTTTCCTTAGGGGAAAGAATTTACTGTATTTTGATATGACTTTATTCTACTCTCAAAAAAAGGACTAAGGTGTGCTGACTTTCCTATATGCTACCCCCATACTTGTACAAAGACTCATGCAAGGATGCTTATTACATGTGCCTACATATGTCTGACAAATCTGGGCTAGATCCTGTCACTTTTGTGCTAAGTAACACTTTATCCGATTCAAATAACTCATTTTGAATAAGTTCCTACTTGCATAGGAATGACAGAATACGGCCCTCAGGATTTATCATTTGTTGCATATTCCAGTCTTATACATATCTATATGAACCAAATGGACCATGACATGCTTAGAAAAATAACTGGAAATTCAGAACAAAGCAAAGAAACAAACCAACAAACAATAACAGAAAGGAAGAGAAATTAATGGGAATAAAGTCCCTAAGGCATCTGCCCAAGAACTAACACAACACAATCAGGAATTCAGAACATTTATTGCAAAAGCTGAATAACTAAATAATGTTGAACTGGCAAAGCAGTAACAAGGATAACTGGTTAGATATTTATTCTGTCAAAGTCATCAAACACCCCTCACAAACTGACATAAGTACTGCCATAAGCAATGCACCCCTAGCCCATTTTAAGCCTTTTATACTGTGGAGGGAAAAAAAGTGAACTGCTATATACAAAAGAATAAAGAAAAAAAAGCTTGTGTTTTCAGTAAGAATAAAATCACCTTCAGATTAGCTAAATTTGTTACTTTAAGACTGATGTTTCACTGTGGCATAAATAACTTTTGATTTTTTTCTGTATGGACTTTTTTTGTTTTGCATGCTATTTATTTGTGTAAATCATCTTTCATGCCTTAAAAAAACCCATCTAAAAATGTTTGGATTTGGATTTGCTTTGCGTGCAACTTAGATCTCACTAACATTAGGAGTCACTCTACTGGTTTGACTGAGGTGATGTGATACTGGTACCTGCCAGGCATCGACCAACTATGATAACAAACAGTTAAACAGCAATAATTAGAGATTTAACCCTTTAGTTTCCCCCAACTAGCCTACCAGGAGAATGCTCTGTTACATCATGAAGGCACAACACATTAAATATTCTGTGGCTATGGTCTAAAAACACTTGTGTTACTACAACATTAACGCAGATGAAGATCAACACAAATGCTGCTGTTTCAGCAATACATACTGTCTTAGGTATAGACACACACCTGCCCAATTGGAAAAACATTATTACTGTATTTTGCTCCTGTAGAATTTCCTCCATGTATTTCAGCTGGGATCAACATCAGCTACCACTCATTAAATGACAGACTACAGCTAATTTGTTCTAGGATCCCAAATGAATAGCTTTCCCCTTCACCTGCCACCACACATTTAAATATTCTTTTGTTTTGCAATTTCCCTGTTTTATGAAACATAATGGAAATGAAACAAAAAACCGCTAAGTTTTTAAGCCCTTACACAAGTTCTTTCACTTCTTAATATAAAATAAAATAAAATTAAATTAAATTAAATTAAATTAAATTAAAATAAAAGAAGAAATTCTACCTGAATGCTGGCATGATTTGCTACTACATAGAAAGAAATTTTTCTTTTTCCCTTTCTGCAACCAACCTTTCTTCCCACCCCATCACTTTTAACACAAGTGGTTTGAGTTCCTTGGAACATTGTGTGTCAGACAGACTACTAACACAGAAACACCATCACTGAAAATAAAAGCAAAACAATAGGAAGGCAATGAAAGAAATTAAAAAGCAACTGTGAAACACAGAAATATGCTACAGTATCTTTTCAAGTGAACATTATAAGTACACAAAAGTTGTAAGTAATAATTGTTTCTATTTACAAGTATTTGAACGCTGATTGACTTATAAGTGTCCACTAACATTGTTAATAGCACAATAGGTTTAATGTTTAGCTTCAATTGTTTGCAATATGATCTCAAGTATAAAGGTCTCAGCATAGATCAATGACAACAAAAGTACAATTTTCTAACTGGATATGCTTTTCAATCTTTGCAATCCATTGAACTTTCATGCTCTCTCACTCTCCAAATGCATCTTCTGTTGTTCATAGCAGCAGTCCAGGGTCAAAACCAAAAAAACAAAAAAAGAATATTTGCAAACTGGAGAGATCTCTGCAGATTTTAATCATGTCTATTTAACAAAACCACACAACTAGTAGAAACACTCTTTCATGTTGCAGGACATCATACCTTCCACGACGCTAACATAAAGATATGCATATCTCTGCTAGGTGAAGCATAGTTCTAGAGGTCTATCCAGTACATAAAGCTCTGACACACACATAGTATTAGCAAGTCTAAGTAGGCTAAAGTCATGGGTCCAAAGTAATCATTTCTTATAGCTGGTGTTCCTTTGGACTCTCCACAGCTCCTGAGGCCTGTTTATAAGACTTCAAGTTGGCCAGAGGAATGTCAGTCATGTGGTTGCCAGTGTTGAAATGGCCTTCACTGGAACCATACTGCTTTCGGTCACTGAACTGATTTCTGTTGCTATCTTCTTTCCAGGTCCTGGTCAATGTGTGTCCATTAACTAGTTTGTCCTTCTTAACCCATTCTTTCTGAGGGGCAAAGGTGGAGAGAGGAGACTTTGGCTGTTGGTATGGGCCCAAGCTAGGAGGCATCCAACAGTTGTCTGAGTGACCCAAAACCAGGCATTCTTGAGTACACATCTCTGTAGCTTCAGCTAATCCTCGTGGCCCAAGAGGCCCATCTGTAAATGAAAAACAAAGAGAAAGAAGAAAGAGGAAGAAAGGAAAAAAAAAAAAAGACATAATATTAGATTGTGATATTTGTCATTAAACTTATACATAGAACTCATGAGAAAATTAACAATGATTCTGCAACAAAATATTGTGCTGGTAAATCCCATATAAATTTTCATTCTGTTAGAAAGTAGTTGCTTTGTAGGGTATAAGCTGTATATGCTACATACCTCGTTTCCAGAAGTGGAAATAAAGTTCTGTTATCCCTAAGTTATCGGTCTTAGATCGTACTATGAATAAACTTAAGTTTTTTTTCAGTCATACTAAGAAAATAAAGGTAATTAAGTGAAAATGTCAAAGGAAGTGAACATACCCTTGAAGATTCTGAGTAAGAATTAATGCTGCTTATAAAAGCCTACAGTTTGGATGTATTCTCTTCTGCTTTCAACTCACTTTACTGCTGCAGAACCTTGGTGCACTAACAGCCTACTGCAAACTGAGAAACATTTATACTATCCAAAAACAGGTTTGCCCAGAGGAATGCACTGTACACAGGATTATCTAATGTCTACTGTTTTACAAACACAGGTTGGTTCATAGTTCTAGATTTCTATCCTGTGGATACACACTCTGATGTCCACTCCCAACAAGTAAGAGATAAGTTAAACATTGCTGGATTTAATAGGAAACTTTGAAACACTTCAAAACATTGCATGGAAGGAGACCATTAAACACATCTCAGATAGCTGCTTTACAATGACAAAATAAAGGGGTAAATGAAAAAAAAAAGCTTATGTAAATCTTGCACTTGATAAAGAACTGTTCTCATAATTCTTTGAAAGATAGTAATATAAGACCACAGAAGAGAGAAATTAAGTTTGCTGAAGTACTAGGCATATTAAATATCCACATCATCTTTCACACACACCGGAGGACACACATGGCCAACTGCAGGCCTCTTTCAATCAAGCAGGTCACCCGTGCCTTCAGTAACACTAAATTCCTCTCAGTCTTACCGCATTTTTAGATGGCTTACTTTGCTCATCTGATCGGATTGGATGTATGAGGAAGAGGAAGCCAGGAAAAAAGCAGAGAAATCACTCTGTATGTCTTCATTAGATATTTCTCAATATCTGAGGTACGCTTTGTCATGATTCTTTGCTAACTGTGTTGTAACTTTGACAAAGAATTATGAGATATCTTTTCTTAACTTCAGAGTAAATCAGCTGGATAGTACTGCAGACATTTGAAGAGTTAAGGAGACATATTTCCTTGATTAAACAGCCCAGTGATAGGAAGGAAATTATAGATTGATTTTTGAGAAAGAACATTAGGAAATAGTCATGAATAGCAAAGTTACTAATCAGAAGAAATATGTCAGTGGTGTATCAGAAAAAAAAAAGTGTATCTTTATAATAATATAATTGAGACTCAAAATGATAAGTGAAGAAACACTAACAAAGATTTCTATGTTAAAATACCAAAGAATATTTTATTCGCTTGTACTCCATGCATATACAATAAATTACCCTTAGTAACATATCTTTTTCTGAACACTGACATTAACTCAATTAATTTTATGGAAACTCCTATTCATTTCTCATTGCTTTTAAACACAGATATAAAAAATATCACCAGGTATATTTCCACATGTTACAATGTAATTAGCTCATCTTATCTCTGTGCAGCTTCTCTTTTTGAATATCTGGAGAATATACAGTACTCTGTTGATGTGACAGAAAATAATAAGCTATAATAAAAGTTGCTACCACATTCCCCATATTAGAAAGTGTCCTATTGCTGAAAACTAGAACATGAAAAATGTATAGAATCAATGCTAATTTCCATGTAGAGCAATACAAGATGAAATAAATAAACCAGAACCATTAGGAAACACAACTGTAAAGTAGGAGCCCAGCAGAGATTTCAGTGAGAACCACAAACTACAATTCTAAAATGAGACCTGACATAATATCTTGGAAGAGACATATTCCTTTTTCTATAAAACTCTTATTTGAATCCTCTAGTATGAAATTCTAACTAAACTGAAGCAGGTACTTAGTGAGAAAACAAAGCAAAACAAAACAATAATAAGTAAAGAAAGTACTCACTGTACATTGTTAACATTTCCAAACTTTAATATATAGGTTAAAAGCTGATTTTCTTTTCTGTCTGACAACAGAAGTTTAATTTTGATTAGTTTTATTCCATTTCAGAGGAAAAACATGAGAAGTGTCAGAACTATTTTCAACCTGCCTACTCTCACAGTACACTACTATTTTGCTGACCAAAGAGGAAAGGTTTGGCAGGGATGAAAACTTTCAAAACACAAAGAAAACCTTTCGCCACAGAATGACACATTTCAAGAAATACAGTGCATGCACTCTGTGCTTCCAATCTACAGTGGAATAAAAGGTTAACAGAAGAGCCTTCAGTACGATAGTTCTGAAGGGGATAAGTTACTTTTTCTGTTTAGTTAAATAAATTTCAAGTGATAAGAATATAATTTCCATTTAAAATTTAAATGAGCAATAAGCTGGTTTTACTTAGGAATAAATATGCATGGGGTCCTATAAGATACATGTCAAACTCTTTGGAAGATTTACTTTGTGTGTTTTGCTTTCTTCAGTTACAGTGCTAGGCAGTTAATGCTGTTAAACTCAGAATGAATTTTAAACACCCTTTGCTTTAGCCATCTTTAAGCTGATAGACTTTCTGAAGAGCACTAGAATATTTAGATATCTGTTACTACTGGGAGCACCAGACAGGAATGAGGTAACAATGCTGAGATGATCGCCTGTTCAGGAACTGCTCTTTGGGTTTTTTGAGTTTAAAAAATACCACTGCTCTGTTGCAGGCAAATTACAATTTTTGTATCGATGTCAGTCACACCAAGTGACAGTTGTAGACAGAGTAAGTACCTCTCCTTTTAGGGGAGGACTGAGAATCCCAGGGGACACTTTTTTTCCCAGTGCAGGACACTTCTTTTAGCTGTAAAACTGTTCAAATAGCTGTGAGGTATAAGTCTGCACACACCTCTACACATGCCTACATATAAATCTATGAACAAAATATATGTAGAGAATTGAGAAAAGGTTCAGACTCTACTCAAATGAGTATGTATATTTTCCAGTACTCTGTCTCATGTTTACAAATCTTTAAAATAGAGGGGATATTTACTTGCCTTACTAAAATATTGTGAGTTTTAAATTTACAAAATGCCTTGCAAGACTTCATCTAATATATAAGTAACAATTATTGTTTTAATTGTCTTCGGTTTGAGCCATCACAAGAGAAAAAGACATTCACAAAGTAATTTTTTTTTTAGAAATGCAGATTGATAGAATAATCTATTTTACTGTTGAGCTACTACAAGGAATGATCATGCTTACTGATTCAGGAAAAAGGCAGCTTCATTCATAATATGTGTGGCGCCTGTCACAACTGTTTCCAGTTAAGGCCCTTAGATATAAGTATAATTTTTCATTAAATGTTATTGCTAATAATGGTGATGATCATGATTTAGGGGATTCTACAAATGTCCTACTGTGAGTCTCAGGAAAAAGACAAAAAGATAAAAAAGGGATCTCACCTACAAAGAAAAAAAAAAAAGTCTTTGAACCATTAGGGTTTTTTCAGATTCTATTTTGTTTTATTACGTTCTCAATCATAGAAAGTTTATTCTTTTTTAAGAATCTTTATTATTCCGGTTGCTATTTAGTACTGTAAAGTGAAATGATCATGAGTAATATGATGGGAGAGAGATCTTCTGGGGATAGCTTGAACTGAGGAGTTGGCTGCTATGTATTGAGAAAACATAATGTTGCTTTAATGGTAATTATCTTTCTCCTCCACCACTGCTGAACAATAGTTTTCACCCAATTTTCTAAAGTTGTTTCATTACCACGTACAGTGACGCCACTTAAAAACCTGTTCCTGCTGTTTTAATTTTATAATTGCATTAATTTGTTTCCTTTCTCTTCACAAAAAATTCTGTATCAAGCTTTTCCATACTGAAGTACTTTATTGATATGTGGTTTTTTTTTTTTTTCAAAGTATTTGTTCTCTGAACAACCCATAATCTGTGAGGCTGGTTATCAGTCTTGGCTGCTTGAATATATAATGACACAAGTGCAGATAAAACTGTACAAGCCATCTGTCTCTGGCGTTAAATGTTTTGAATGCAAACACAAAAGTGCATAACAAACACTCTCTTAAATTGTCTTTGTAAATATTTATATCAGATCTTACCCCAAAATGCTTGTTATTTTATTCTGCTAATAGCTGTCAAGCAGATGCATGACTTGCCTACTCAAAAGCAGACAGGTGTAAGAAGGAAAATGTATGCTTCAAGAACTGGTCATACCCTAATGCTGGAGTTTCTGTGTGGTCTTTTATCTCTTTTTATTATACCCAGAAGCTAAACAGCTATTTCATTGATTAACTTACTGCTGCAATTAGCAACTAGCTTGTGGTGTGATGACCAGCTGCTTTTCAACCTGCTTCTTTAAAACTCTCTTGCTTAAAGCCAGAAAATTCATTCTTCAATTCTGAAAGATTCAAGGCCATAACATAAGTTCCACTCAGTGAGATTTTTTCGTCTCAAAGAAAATAGGTACTCTTTTCCTGAGGGCACTAATATTAAGTATAATGGATTTGAACATGGCCACAGTTGTGTTTCAGACTATTATATTTATTTAACTTTACATATTGCATCCTACAAGAAAAACAAATAGCAGCAACATTTCAGTTCTATTTAACCTCAAATACAGGACGTTTTTTTAAGCTTTTGTGGGCTACTTTAGTAAATTACCTCTTCTGAGACCATGTGTTTTTACAGCCTTCTACACATATATTGGAACTAAAATGACATTATTCCATTTCATAGAGGTTTTCCCACTACTCTATATATTAAATATAAAAATTCAAAACCAGTTTATAATGAAAAATATTCTTTTGACATTTTTTTTACTCTGAAATATCAGCCAAATAAATAAGAAAGACTATT